AGGCGTCCTCCTGGGTTCATTCGAACCCAGGAAGACGCTTGGCTTCCTGGGTTCGAACGAACCCGAGAGCAAAATGTAAAAAAAAAAAGAGAAATTTTTTTTTTTTTTTTTTTTTGTGGATCTTGTTGTTTCATGATGATGGAGGAATTGATTGGTGAAGAAGGCTAGGTAAGATGAGGAACTGAGAACTGGGAATGAGGAAGAAAGGGGGAGAAGAGTTCAAGCTTTGCAGGAGGTGGGGCCCACTCTTTTTTTTTTTTTTATTTTGGATCCGAATCATACTACCATGTCATTTTTTTTACATGTGTGCATACGAGGTGTCATTCTATTTTGACACATCATCATGCTTTAGTTAATTAACAAGACATGTCATTGGATTTTTAACGGAGGGACTAAATTGGGGTAAAAATGATAAACAGTAGGGACTAAATCAGGGATTTTTTGAGTTGAGGGACTAAGTCGGAGGTCCATACAATAGTTGAGGGACCAAAAAGGGATTTAACCTAAAATTAATTCTTTAAATATAATTAATAATTAATAATTAATATACAATAACTGATAGCAGTGTACGAAAAGCCCAAACTCAAAACTAGGGGTGGGCAAAACCGGTTTGGTTTCAAAACAATCGAAAATTTTTTTCTTTCATTTTTTAGAACTGAAACTGAATTAAAATTTTTACAAAATTAATCAGTCTGATTACCAATAAAATTGGTTTGATTTTAATTTTTGATAAATAAATATTAATTAATTATTTTTTTAATAATAAATTATATTTTATCACATATTTTATCATATTTTGTCACATATTTTATCATATTTTATTATATTGATCTTATTTTTTATTTTTAAGGACTTAATTTCAATTTTTAATTTTTAAAAAATTCAACCAAAATCAAACCAAAACTTATTTGATTAACATTAAAACCAAAAAGATAAAAATAAAAAACCATTAAAATCAAACCAAATTCATTGTTCAATTTAAATTTCGTGTAATCTGTCAGTTTGGTTTCAAATGCCCAACCCTACTCAAAAGCCCTACAACCATCATTAGTAAAACGTCACTTTGAAGCGGGAAAAGGTAAAACTATCATTAGCTAATCTTTATGTATCTCTCACTCATTAAAGTTATTTTTTCCTTTTTTAACTATGGATTAATACTTTCAATGATAGAAAAACTCGATAATAATTTTATTTTAATAAAAATAAATGTTTCAAATTAAAATCAGATGTTATGTAAATAAAATGAATTATAAGATAAGATAAGATTTTTTCTCTAAAAAAAAAATGAGATAAGATAAGATTGATTTGCATTATATAACTCAAAAATTAAAAACCAAATAAAAATGGACTAATGTTTTTTATTACAGAATGAACTGTTCTGAAAAACAAATGGAAAACTTAAGTAGGGATATAATAGATATTGCAAAGTAACTGTCTTCTATCTTTGCTAGATTAAGGTCTTTGAGGAGCACCTAATGACATAGAAGGCGTTTGGTGAATTATATTCCTACGAAACAGGGTTTATATATTTTTTTATATGATTTTTTTGGAGTACAATGGAGTGATAAAAAAGAAAACAAAAACGAGCAAGAGATAAATGGTAAAGCGAGATGAAATTAGGCTGAGAAAGAAGGATAAAATTGCACTTTAAATGCATTTGTCCTGAAATTGAGAGTAATTAACTGATTCTCTCGAAAATTAACTAAAACAACTAATAATAAGAATTACAAGTAGTCATTATAATGATAAATAATTTTATAATTATAATGTATTGTAATATAATTATTTTTTATTTAAAAATCCAGACATTATATTTTATGAATTAGTTAATTTAATACTACAACATAATTATAAATTTATTTGGTATTACAATTATATCATTACTATTTTCCTTCTAATTCTAAATTTTTTTGCCGTGGATTCGGTCCGGCCCTTGAACCCGGACCCAAGTTGAGTACATGTCGTAACATAACTCTATGGTGTAATTGCAACCGAGTTTTCGTGTTGTTTTTTCTTATTTTTTTTATTTTTTTATTTTTGTTATTTTTAAGTTACATAATTAGAGATAATTTTTTTTATATATCTTTATTTATTCTACTCTCATATTACATGATTTAAATCTAAAATTTTTTATTTAAACAGAGTCTTGTTTGCACAAAATAAAGACCATCTCAACAAGTCTATAATGTTAAGAATTTGGATAGAATTTCTTAAGAAAATGAAGGTATCTTTACCTTGATCTTGGGCCTAAAGGTCCGAATATTCTTTCGGCAATGGGCCTTACAAGTTTTCATTGCCATAGTGGACTTGGTGTAGCAACGGAGAGCAGAGTTGTGAGGCTTATTTTTGGTCGCTTTCTTTCCCCCATTTGAAGAACTGTGCAGGGCAGAAGAGGGTTCCAAAAATCAGAATACCTATAAAGATTAGGATTAATTTGACAGAGAAGCCCCCAACACAAAACTAAATAAAATTTAACCAAGCCAATACCTACTACCTTGATTAGTAACGACTAGCAATGGTCTCCATAAAATATTTATAAGGATGATAGCTTCATATGTAGATAAGAGCATACCTAGATCCTCGTTTGTGACTTTGTTTTTCATTGATCTCATTCTTCCCCATATCTGTGGTCTTAAATTTCCTCAGCAGAAATATAGGAGAAGGTTAGGGATGAGGAAAAGGACTGCACAAATGAAATGGTGCTACTTAATT